GAAAATGCTGCTGATAGAAAGAAACAAAAGCTATGAGATCAGACACAAGGAAGAAATCTGCTTACTTATAAAACATTACAACTTTGGGTGAAAAGAATTTATGTATCTGGCATCTATCAACATTTTATACACTTTATCCAATTCAGAATGTTGGCAAGGTGCAATCCATAGACTCCAAGTGCACCATGATTGGCCACTGGTTCATCATGGGGCAAAGGCAGAAAAACAAGCTGACGCTCACTCCCCGAACAAGCCATGCATAATTTTTTTTCATTAAGACCAAATGTGGAAGCCATTAATCTCAAATCTATTGTATCCATTTCTTCCTGGAAGCCCAAGATGTATCTATGTGTTTACATTTCCAATGTTGAGAGTTTTAAAATCCCAGACTTTATGCTTTGACCATATAACTTGCTTGAAACATGTTTAAAGAAAACAACTTAATCTTTAACATTCAGTACAGATACATCTGGGGGCGGGGCGGATTTATTTTGTGTTTTTTTTGGTCCTGGGTGGCATTCAAAATCCTCATCTTCCTCATCCTCCCGGTCAGAAAAGTCATCAAAATCCTCATCACTGTCCAAATCATCCATGCCTTTCTTCCCACTGCTGTCTTTTTTTCTCTCTTCATCTTCTTCTGGCTCTTTACTGTCCGAGTTTGAGTTTATGCTACAGTGACAGGAAGCAAGAACATTGATGTTTAATGTAAATGAAAATGAAAATTAAACATAGGAATAAATGGCTCCTTACAGAAGAAATGTGAAAAAGCTGAAGGAAAGTGAAAAACAAACAAACATGTAAAAACAAACTAGTGAAGATGCCATTAATGGACAAATTTCCATTAATCTGTAATGCATCCTAATGTCCACAAGATGGCAGACTTGGTCATAGAACATTGTGTCAGCTCACCAGTGATGACAAATAAGAGAATATTTCAAATTTCAGTATTTTCACAGTAGTTTCAAAACGTCAAAAACAAATAATTTTAATACAGTTTCATAACAGCTGGCGGAAACGTCAAATAAAAGACAGACTTACGGAATGACAATGTCTTCTTTCTTCCCACACTTGCAGCAGATCTCTAACTGAAGTGAGCATTGCTTACAAACTATGTGATATGCGTCTTTCACAGTCTTTTGGGAACACTTTACACTATAGAGGGAGAAAATAGACACACCTGTTTGGATTCACTATACTTGGGTTAAAACATTCAAGAGTCCAACACACAAAATAGGCACTACAAAGTCAACTGTTGTGTCCCTAGAACCCCACTGAACCCCATTGCTGCACATCAGATTACTGGAACAGTGTGTAAGGTTAAGAGCACACCTAGAAGTAAATGTAATTTTCCATGGCAAAACAAGCATTACCAGTAACCTGTTGTACTTACCATCTTTTAGACTGGGTTAGTGGTTTGTATTTGTTGTACTTCACTTTCCACTCAAGCACACCTTTGCAATGTTGACAGAGCCCATCGTGGATCTTTGAGTTTGCTTTCTGAAATAGGCGGACAATAGGTGGAAATGTAAGAAAAATAGCGCAGTGCCATAGCTTTGTTAAACTAACAGCTTGTGATGCTGATTTTATGCTGACAAACACTCTTTTGCTCCCCGGTGTAAACACAGATTAGAGCTGCATAATACATGTATTGGGCAAGTTAAAGTTTTCATACATTTTTTAAAGCCTCGAGGACAAATTACACTATTGCTAAGGCGTCCGACACGTTAAGTTTACAGCAGTATACTAATCAAACCGAGATTAAAAAGCATTTCCCCCCGGTTAAGATGGCCAAGGGAATACAGTATAAACGAGATCACTTGTGGTACTTCGAGGCTCACACACCTTTACTTGTGCACTCGCTCCATACTTGTCGTTTTTGAAGGCAGAGGTGTTTTGATGTTTCTGTCTTCGAGATCGCGATACATTTCCTTTCTGAGAACTCATCTTATTTTTCAGTTTTTTTAAAAGAAGTTGTGTGTCTCCACATTCCCACCATCAATTCCAGCGTGAGCGACCGTGTGATAACCCGGAAACAGTACGACTACGTCACGAAACGTAACTGAGGTCAAAACAAATCTGCATTTATCAAAACTTGAGACATTTTCTAGATATATATCAATATAATTTTGCTTTAAAAATTATTGAATATTAATCCTACATTAAATTCACATAAAGATATGTTTGTTTTTTTTAATCACGTTGCCATTCGATTTCAAGAAACCCCCTTTATGGGCGCTGATTGGGCAGTTGGTGTCAATAGTAAATTTTGATTGGCTTAGCCGGACGTCACTGAAAACATCACGCTGCCAGTCAGCAGTGTCACGAAGGGCCACCCAGACAGCCCCGATGAGCTCGTTGCAATTGGTATTTCAAGCTGTCAGCCAACGCCTCTCCCTCCGTAGAAGCCAAGATAACGAGCACGGTGATAACCATAACGAAAGCTGGGATGTTTCGGAGGGGAGTGACTGTAACACAAAGTGATTGACTCAGCCTTTCGGACGCATTCCCAAGAATTTGTATAATTTTAAACCTTCATTGTCTATACTCATGTGGCGGACGGATCGTGCTATGTTGAATGTTGCGAGCAAATCGAGGTCGTTATCATTCAGGACCACATGCTGAGAAAGACAAGAGGAAGAAAAAGAAAAGGAAACGCCAGTTCAGGAGGTTGTTTGGACCGGTGGACGAAGCGGAAGGCTAATAGTAACTCGGAGTTGTGGTGCCAAGAGGGATATACACACACTCAACGTGACATTGCTGACTAACAGGGCACAACCGAGGATTATCTGGGACCAAGTATAGCCTTGGCAATCTCCTGGCGTCGAGAAGAAAATAAGTTTTGGTGCAAAGATAACACCAGAGTACCGCGACCACCACTGCCACTTTTTTTTTCCTTTTCAAAACAAAAAGAAAAACAGAAGGCTTTGCTTCCAGGTAATGTGGAAATGATTTCTTTACTCTTTTTATATAGGTAATACACACTTGACATGACCAAAAAAAACAGTTTGTGTGGACCGTGGGAAATCAACTAATCAGAGTCGGTTTCATCGTCGCTACATCCACCTCCATTTTACAGCGGGGCTCCGGGCTGTCTTCGTGTCTGCCAGCCTGTCGAGTCTCTAGAGAGGAATATGGTAGCATGGAATTATGCTGCGGGCTGCTCCTTTTGGATGTCTCAGCATCATTGAGATGCTGAAGTGGCAGCACACGGTCCACGAGAGGCAATTATTACCACAAGTGCCTTTAAAGCGCCCCTAAGTCACCGGCTACAGCCAGTTGTTTCCGTAAGCCGCTTCAGCAGGTAATTAAGCAGAGTAGAAACACCTGAGCAAAGCTACGGCTCCACTGGGCAGCTCTCGTGTGGAAAGTCCGGCCTCGGTAACCTCTTTAAACAGCTACTGATGGAGGGTATTTGTGTGGCAGAGGTGTCCCGGCCAAAAAAAGGGTTGGTTGAGCTATGTGAATGCCATGGCTGGCAGGCATTGAAGAGCTACGTGCTTGGTTTTTTCATACAGGAACTGTTGTGCCTTAATGCTGCAGGACGTGGGAAAACTTGTGGAGTGGCCACATTAAAGAGCCTGGCAGGCAGGCCGCAACGTCCTGGTATCGAACGGGATGAGTACATGGGCGAAGTTTAGTTTCCTGCCATGGTGCCATTTGAAATGGGTTGTAGGGATACTGACTCTTCTAAATATACTATCCAAAACACATGTGTTTAAAAGGGAGTTGTGTTACTAAGTGCCACAGCCATCGGCAAGGATGTCTCCAAAACTGGCTTAGCTGACATGTCTGGTTATGGCTGGAATATCCAGGAGATGGCCTGAGGGGGAGGTACAGATGCAGAGCTAAACAAAAAGCCTTTAGTTGAGCGCTATCAGTTTCCTGGTTGAAGAGAGCCATACATTTAAGAAAAGTACACTTCACATATATATATTTTTCTTTTTTGAGAAAGGGCTTTGTTTCAGCACAGTGTCCGTGGGACCTCCTGCTTTTCTTCTTAATACAGACAAATGTTAGCAGTAGAAAGTAAAGCACTCGAATTCCGCACCATGTTTTTTTTGTGACTATTCAGCAAGGGGAAAAGTGTCGGTGTGAAAGTTTGAGGAAGCTCAGATTGTTTGTTTTATACGTAACAGGCCTCAGAAACAGTTCATATTTAATGCATTTAAGTGCTTTTTTCTTTTGTTTAAACCATTTTTGCTCTTCCTGTCAGTCTTATAAGGATGAATCACCTATCGCTCAGCGAGCTGTGTTGCCTGTTCTGCTGTCCGCCATGCCCCAGCAAGATTGCCTCCAAGCTGGCCTTCCTGCCCCCGGAGCCCACCTACAGCCTCATGTGTGATGAGAGTGGCAGCAGATGGACGCTTCACCTCTCGGAGCGAGCTGACTGGCAATACTCGGCCCGTGAGAAGGATGCCATAGAGTGTTTCATGACACGCACTTCCAGAGGGAGCCGCATTGCCTGCATGTTTGTCCGCTGCTCGCCCAATGCCCGCTACACTCTGCTATTCTCACACGGCAACGCGGTGGACTTGGGCCAGATGAGCAGCTTCTACATTGGGTTAGGTTCACGCATCAACTGCAACGTCTTTTCCTATGACTACTCTGGATACGGGGCCAGCTCTGGGAAACCCTCAGAGAAGAACCTGTATGCAGATGTGGATGCTGCGTGGCAGGCCCTCCGATCACGGTAAGGGGGATATGCATGAAAGTAAAAATGGTTTAGTAACCTGCAAGGCTCTTATTAGAATATGCCAGGTACCCAAATTATTATTTTAAGTGAAAAGCTTCTTTCATGTAGGGAGTAATTCGTGTTTCCCCAGGAGTATGAAAACCTGAGGTCACTGCTTTTTACACCCTAAAATGGCATTGAAGAAGAAGAGTGATATCACATTCATTCTGTTTCTCTATGATGCAAGAGGTGTGAATGCAAAGGGACAAAAAAACAGGGTACTGAATTAACTGGTTTGGGGGGATTATTACTGAAATGAGCCTAATAGGTGGAGATGACAAATGGTTTTGTTGGGATAGCAAGAAGTTACCGTGGGCGATAATGAACGTGTAGTTTGTGTGATGTTATGCTGGCCCACTCTGTGGGTGTGAGTGGGTGCTCTGTTGGATCTTTCTACTCAGCAAGCTGTGAGTAGACTTTCACCCACTGCTTTTAGCGTGATCTGCTTAAAAATAAATTTAGCAAGAACCTTTGGTTTCTCAGGTTTACAGTGCAGAAAACTACAGCATTTGTTTCCTTTTTTAAAGTTGTCCTCAGAATGTAAATGTCAAATGGAACATACAGTATCTCTAAAGTTATGATCTGAAATGTGGAAGTATCAACGCAGTACAAAATGTTATGATGATTAAAAATGTGTTTAAAAAAAGTTAATACGATTTGAATTCCATTAGAATATTTTAAAAGTTGTAAAAAACTGTAGACACAGGATGTCACACAGTCCCATGCTGGTTTGAAGGCCTCGCTCGGCATCACCCCCTTCCTTAAGATAGACTCTTCTGCTCCTAAACTCTATAAATCTGTTTGTTTAACCTCACGTTGCTTACTTCCTTCCAACCCACATCTGCTTTTTGTCTTTGACCCTCTTGTCATCTCCTCCTTTTGTGAGGGCCGAGACAATATGATGCCTCTTCCATTTTTGGTTATTTTTGTTTCTTTCTCTTATTGGAAAACAGGGGAATCATAATTGACAGACTAATGACTCTGGTTCTTTTGACACTGGTAATTTGGAATTAGAGGATATATATTATTTGAAAATTGTCCATCTATCCATCCAAGGCTGTTTCAATATGAGCACGATGCCCACATCCACTCATCTGATGGAATTGGATGTACATAATCTTCTCTGGATGTACTGTATGTCAGTGAGAGAACTTATGGTTTTTTGTGGTTTAGTCTTTTTTTAATTGGGATATAACTCGATCCTGTTAATCTCTTTGCTTTTACAGTTTTACGATGAACATGAGCATTATTAAATGGGAAAGTGAAGAGCAGATTGAGTCACTATTAAACTGGATCTTTGTGTTTAAAGCAGTTAAGAGGTTGGCATTACAAAGACTTCAACATAAAAATATAACTTTATCTTTTTTAGTTCATTTGAACTGTTGGTCTCGCATATAATGAATAGTTTTCTGTAAATAGAGCACGTAACATAAGGAAGCTTTCAAGTTAAACAGGTAAATCAGTCATTGAGGTTCTCCATGCAATAAATAGGCCACTGTTGTGAGGAATAACCTGCTTTTCTGGTGCCCAGCTTCACCTGTGTGCATGTGTGAATTGAAAATCCCCTTGGTTTGCTTCAGAGTTGACACAGTTATGGCTTGATAACTCTTTCCTTAAAATAAGTTCTTCTTTCTTGCTCTGAAGTTTACAGCTCAAGGATAAGTCCACAATGCTGCAGTGTTGAACTGTGCCTTCTCCCTCGGCTCTATTTGTGTTGCTAATAATTCTCCCTCTTCCATATAGCTGACACTTGGTATTTAACTAAAAAGAGCAAAGATATTATCTCATGTCAGAAACAAATGACCAAAAGTAACTTGAAAGAACACCTCATGCATATTCAGATTATGCAGAGTGCTTCTGCTGCCTGCTGTATTAATGCAAGATAAGTTGACTTGTAAATATTGTGTCTGTATTTCTGCAATCTGCAGTTTTGTCCTCACTGTCTGTTGAAATGTTCCACTGATGGCAGACAATTGTTGCAAGACAACCAATGTGGTTTCCAGTCGTGACATTATTTGAATATTTAGCTGGTGCATGCAGCTCATTGGTTGCCCTACTATCCTTTTTCCTGGACCTACTGAACTTTTACACTTGAGATAAAGAGGCTGTTTGAACACTGGTGGTTTTGAGATCATTTTTACACTAACACCTCTGTTCTCTACAATGTGTCAGTGGTAGCAGATCAAATACAGAGCTTAACGTCTTGGATACTGTATCACATGTTGGTTTATATTTTCCGAGGAATCATATGAGACTTCCAGGAACAAGGAAATAAGATGTTTTTTAGAATATCACTGTTTGTCCCATTTATTTTTTTTTAGTCCCATGGTTAGACTGCATCACCTCTGGCTCTCTATCAAAATAAGGTTGGATGATCAAGTGCTCTTATTTCTGTCACATACAAAACACCAGTGTTTAGGAAAAAGTCATGAGATAGTTATTTCACTTAAAAAAAAAAAAAAATTAAAAAAAAGAGATAAAAAAGTACATATTTCTTTGTCAAGATCAGGAAGACATCTTTATCAGAAGTAATCTGACCTGCACATAGTTTTAATTCTAATAACATTACGATTTTTGGTAACATTTACTTGACTTGTGTAAATACATGAAACTAAATATCCGAAACGGTGGTCTAATAGGAGTAAATTCGTGTATGTATTTTTTCCTGTGTTCTTGGCTTTGTGTGCTTTGGTTTTTGTATGTATGAAACACTGGGGTCAAATCTTGTAAGGTTTAGAAAGAGTCTCTGGTATGGTGAGGTCGGTCTTCTCGGCGCAGCTCTCTGCCTGTTTTTATTTTCATTTGACTTGTTCCAGTTTTATAGTTGACTGCCTTTGCCATAGGAGGGTACAACAAAGCCTTTTGACCCCACTGAACATGAATCGACTAAGTTATATTTATCACATCAAAAGGCCTTGCTGCATTGCCTCCCATTAGTGGCCTGCCCGCATCCCTCGTGTTGGTCTCACATGTTGGATCAGACACAGCCTTAACAACAGCGCTTCTCGCCTTTCTCTCTGCTTCATGTATTTTGTCTTTTTTTTCCCCCCTGACTCGCTCTCTGAACACGCCGAACGCTGACTCTTTTTCTTTCTTTTTTTCTGGACCTGATCTTGCATTTGTGTGCCACCTGATCCTTGTTTACCTAGTGACTCACTGCTATTGGCAACTGTCATTTTCCTGTACAGCAGCATGATGAAAGCAACCACCTGTCAACTTGTTGATAGTTAAAGCACAACTGCAAATCCAAGGACGCCAACACAGACTCCCAAGGTTTGGTATTGGTACATAAGGCACTCCCTTCACCACAGTAGGGAGTGTGTCGGATGACGAATTCTTTATGTTAGTCAGCAGGTTTAATCTGACAAGGCCGGCTTTGTTATTCTCAGGATTACTCACCTTTAGAAGCCAGTTGGAACAGCTGATAAGAAATGCCTTTTTATTTCACTGTCATGTTTTAGGTTAATGTTTGGTTTTATTTTTATCATATAATTGTTTCTTAATACAGTAGACTTAAAGTAGATTACTACTGTATATATACATTTCCCATTTATGTTGTTTAATACTTCAATTTGACACTATGAATTCCATTTAGGTGTGAATAAGTTTCTTAACGTAATTAGTCTGAATGAAGAGAAAAAGGGTTTCCAAATGATGGACCAATGTGATGAAAGCACATTTCCTGTTTTAAAAACTGAGGTTTTTCTTTGATTAAGTCAAACCTGACTTTACTAGTTTTGTTTTGTAGCTGTGGAACCTCTGTTCTCTGTCTGAAAGCAAATCTTTTGTGCTGTGTGTGTTTAGTACGTCCCTAAACAAAATGGCACGGTATCATTTTCTTCTCCCTCTGAGATGAGGGCAGGCCAGCAGTCAATCCTTGCTGTCTAATATTGAGCAGTAACCTAGCAACTGATTTGCAATGAGCTTTTAGACTGACTCCTTCCCTCTCTGTGGCTAATAAAAATGAACGGGGGAAAAAACAACTTCCCGGCTAATTATCGTATTGATCAGAATCAAAACGCAATCGCTCTTCTCAGACATTCTGGAGTCTGTAGAACTCCTCAAACCTGGAAAGACAGGAAGGCATCTGAACTGCATCTTACACTTGCCTAAAATATCTGACAACTTGGCTGATTAAACTTGTAAACAAGGGCAGTACAGTGTAAGTTTTGCCATCTGGGTGGAGTGCAATCACTCACCTGACAGCAGACGAGACAACCTGCATGTTTGTTTTTCTCTCACTCAAACATGAGACCAGTATTTACTGAACAAACGGATGGTACATTTTTTAAGTGGAAGGACATGAATTAAGGATGTTTAATATCATGGATCATTAATCATGTTGACGAAGAACCCCCCCCAGTCGGTACACAGGTTTATGAAATGGCTCCTCAGGAAATATGTGTTGTTCTAACAGGACTTGAGGATATCTCTACTCTTTAGGGAACAAGAAGAGGCAAGTCAGGATTGAGATGCCGACAGGGGAATGAGGGAGGATGTAATGCATAATAGATTGGGTTTGTGTCAGGAGATGAAATTGATGGTTTTAGGAGGGTTTTAACAAGGGAGCATGTCCGGTGATCAGGAAAACTCTGTCCTATTAGAAATGCCCTCAAAGAAAATGTTGATGAAACGCTGAGTCTCTTGCTCTGCTCTGTGATTACATGGTCTTGCTGCCAAATGTGAGCAAAATACAAGCTACCAGTTGTTTTGAATGATTGTGAACCTTGTTTCCATCGTAGTGTGAATGTCATTGTGGAAATGCACAGATGAGGAGAAAAATCTGACTTGCGAGAAACTGCCTGTGAGTGTGAAAATATATGATTTAGACATCGGTTTAAGGCTTATTAGTGGTTTCTGTTTTGGGGCAAGAATTGGGCATCAGTTTTGATAGTTAAGGTTTTTTTGACAGCAGAGAGTCCCCACAGGCTATGGAAACCAGACGTGTAAGAATTGGTGTGGCCTGGAGTGAGCCATGACGTTGGTTGTTAAGCGTGAACTGGTAAACAAATAGTGGTTGTGAGCAGCCCTGCCCTCCATAATTCCACTCGGTATCTAATGGTTTCAGTTAGTCTTCCTTATCGACACTGTCATCTATGTGCCGCCATATGATTGGCTGTTTGTCAGTGGTCTGATATGGTGACACTAGTTCCTACAAATTTTCAAATGTTTATGTTGGCATGAGATCCTAGTTTAAATCTAAAATCATGTAAAGACTCATCTCAGCAAATAGGCTTTGCAACAAATCATAAATCTTGCCTCTGAAGTGCACAGTTAATCTTTTAAGGCAGAAGGCTCAGTTCTGAGGTTTATGTGGGCTAATTCAGAAATTTACTTTGCTTTTCTGGGTTCACATTCAGTGTCTGGTGGTATTTACCTGGAAGGGAAAACAATTGGTTGGACTGTTTTCTTAAAGTAGCTGTGGTTTGTCGTACAGTATAGCTGGCTAAGCCTCATTGTTAGGGGCTCTTCAGCACTCATTGGTCGGGAGTCATTCTTTCCAATGCTGTGCCAGTATTATCACCACTATTTATACTCTGAAGACCAGCTGACACACAGACGATAAACACTTTCTATATTTCTGCTGGTGTGGACATGCTTTATCTGAAGTGAATGTGGCTGCCCTTTGAAGCAGTAAGCATGTGTTGCTGTGGTTGGTACTGTACACTTTATCACAGCAGGTTGGACGGTGGTAAATATTTCTTGATCATTGTATAAGAACAGAGCAGTGGTAGAGGTTGTAATTTTGGAGCTCCTTACTTACATTTCAGAGCAGAGGTTTTGTCAGACGGTGTAGAAAAGTTTAATTCAGCCGTGCAGCAGTGGAGACAGCGATGCAGTGTTCTCAGACTTGGTTCCAGGTTGTCAGCTGACTGCTGGCTGGAGTGGGTCACGTTAGTTATAATCAGCTGTGGAATGTGGTTTTTTCTTTCTTTTTTTCCCCCCATTGCTCTCAATTTACCCCCAATCACGTACCAGTGTGGCTTTCTGTCTTTGTACTTTTTTTCCCTCTCTGCTCAGTCACAAGACAGCAGTGCTCCTTCTGCTCTCCGTTCACCTTAAAGAAGTAATGAAACCAGAGCGAAGTACAAACCCATAGCATCATTTTGTGCTTCTTTCTGGAATACAGAATATTAAAATTCTTGGGAAATTGTAATCACAAGTGCCCACATAAAACACAATTTTACAAAAGACTAGTTGAAGAGATGGTACTCTTCAGACACTTGACCTCTCTGATCATAGAGTATGAGACTGCAGCATGGAGGGGGGATGGGGGATGTATTGACAGCATACTTAAATGGTGAGTGAAAAGCAGTCTGGAGAACATTATATACACAGTTATACAAAAATGCATCAAAGACGAGCGATCCTGTCCATCTTCAAGAAATTATTGAAGACACAGGTCTTCAGAGAGCGTCTGAAGAGCAGCTAGTTAGGTGGATGCTAACTATGATGTATTTGCATTGCAAGCCTCTTTGGATGAAAGCATCTGCTAAATGCATAAACATATCTACTCGTTTATTTTTTGTATGTTTGTTTTCATGGCTGGGATCCTATTGGGATGTCTGCCAACATCTGGTTAGGTGCTCAATATGTATCTGCAATGTTTGCCAGCTAGTAGTGTAAATATCCTATTTGTAATGTACCAAAGCAGTGTTCCATTATGCTTCCTCTCTCCAACAGATATGGGATCCGTCCAGAGAACGTGATCGTGTATGGTCAGAGCATCGGCACGGTGCCCTCTGTCGACCTGGCCTCACGCTACGAGAGTGCTGCGGTCATCCTCCACTCCCCGCTCACGTCTGGCATGAGAGTGGCTTTCCCTGACACCAAGAAGACTTACTGCTTTGATGCCTTTCCAAAGTGAGTGCACTGTACAGACAGATGGCCTGTTTGAAAACAAGGCAAATGTGTGACATCCGCTGGAAGGTATGCAACCTTTTTAGAGTTTAGGCACACATACATTCAAATCTCTGCTCAGCTTGGATCTTGCCTTAAAGGAAAGAAACACAAACCTCATGTTCTGTTAGGAGATCTGAGAAGAAAATAGGTTTGATGGTGCCCTCTGGTGGTCGATTGTAAAACTAGCTCTCCTCTTTGATTTTTAATTAAAATTGTTCTTGTTCTTAATTTCAAAGAAACTATATTGAATTGTAATTTCTTGTTTTGCCTTCATATATCTTCTGTCTTTTTCTTTCCGTTCCTCAAGCATTGACAAGATTTCCAAGGTGACTTCCCCAGTCCTTGTTATCCATGGTACGGAGGATGAGGTCATTGACTTCTCTCACGGCCTGGCGCTGTACGAGCGCTGCCAGCGCCCTGTGGAGCCCCTCTGGGTGGAGGGGGCCGGGCACAACGATGTGGAGCTTTACGGACAGTACCTGGAGAGACTCAAACAGTTTGTTGCACATGAACTGGTAAACTTGTAGAGGACCAGGAATTGAGGGCGGCGAGAGAAGAAAATAAAACTTCAGTCTTCTGGAGAATGATGGACATGGTTTACAACTTTTTTTTTTTTCTCTTCCATTAAGCAATGGAGAGAGAATAAATGTCTTTTAGAGCTGACTTCAGCACTCCAGTCTGCCCTGTGACCTCCTGTGCTATCTGCTCTACGTTTTGCAGCCATAAACTCAGAAATACCCATAATGATGTTTTGCTTTTAACTTTTTTTTGTTCATGTTAAACAAGTATGAATGAAACGGGAAGTAGACGTGTACATGACAACACTCCGTACAGACATGCAATCATGGGTGTGGTTGAATGTATGTCCTGTTTTCTTTTGTTGCCTTTTGTGAAAAACATGGTTCACAGTTCAAAAAGACCTGCAGTCGGCTCCTGAGCTCTGTAAGGCTCTCAGAAGCGGCCTTTCTATAAACCAGTCTCTGTAAAGCAAGGTCCATCTGACTCTAAAGTCAGACTTGGTCATGCACACTTCATTCAATTAAAGAAACAAACAAAAAACATGACATTTGCACTTATTAGTTGTCATTTTATTGCTGAAGAGCTGTTAAAGATATACTGGCAACATATTTAGCTGTGCCAGTGTTGCCAAATGTTAAAACTATTGCAGAGACTTGTGCACATGAAGAAATGTATTATTACAAATAACCTTTAGAAAGAAGTAGTTTAGTTTTTAAGCTGTACACTTAGTGTTAAGTCCTATAAGAGTATGGTGGTCTCAGTCTGCAGCTGACCGAAAGACTGAGGCTGCATGAAGTCCCGTGAATAGTGGATTAGTTTCCCATTCCTCACGCCATCACTCACACACTCGTCTGTGTGACCTGCTGATCTCAGAGCAACAATTCGTCGTCATTGCGCTGTGATGGATCAAAGCAGGGCACAACTGTGGATGAACTCTGACCAGTTCTGGAAATAAAGTGTTGAGTTGTTGGTTTCAGTGTGGCTCTGAGATGGATGGGTCTCCCTCCGGGTTGCACCCCACCTCTCACCCAGTGGCAGCTGGGATAGGCTCCTGCCCCAACAACCCCAAATTAGACTGAGTGGGTGTGGAACCATAATGGATGAGTCATAGTGACAGTCATCGGTCGACTTTTGACGGTGTTGTTTCTGCCTTTTAGTCTGAATATATAAAGTAAAACTGTGTGTAATAATGATGAGATCTCCTTATGTACGTGTATCAGATCTTTTGAGGTGTATCTTTTTATCTGATATAAAAATCACTGTTAGAGCTCAGACTTAAACCACTAATGCCAATCAGGATGAGCAGCGACCATTACACCTGCTGGTTTAGATGCATTTTTCAGTTGAAGAGGATATAGATATGATATTTTAAGTCATATTTTAATATTTTCCTCCACTATATGAATAGACACCAGAGATGGTTAGCCACTCGCCAAATGTGCAATGGGACAATGAGCTATGTCTGTGTGACTGGCTCAGCATTAAAGGTCTCCATCCTGAATGGAAAATAATCTGTTTGTCTTAACTTTATCTTTCTGTCAACATAGTTTGAAACTGGTTAAATATGAATTTAGCCTTTAATGCTGAGGGAGGCAAAGCAGTAGCCACAGTCGGTGCGCTGAAAAGCAAATGTTCAAGTCTTACTGCATGCTACACGCCATGTCCACCTTTTCGTGTAGATGTCATAGCAAGCGTGGATCTCATAAGAAGTACCAATAATTTCCCTGTGTATACTTCAACACCTGTCTCAAACTACTGCTCTGAGTGTCCGCTAAAGCACGAAAGAATTGAAGACTGTCAAACAATCGGTGCTAATGTAGATATTCAGATCTGTTTAGAAGGAAGCAAAGAAAGGCTTGCCAATTTGTCAGATTGACCAAGATCCCGATCAGAGCTGGTAAACTTTTTTTCTGTTTAGGTTCTCATTTGTTTTAAACGGTCCTGCTTCTCATAACTTTTATTTTCATGTATTCAGCCACTATTTTTTCCTTAAAAAAAATCTTTCTAACAACTGATGCCCCCACCCCCTCTTTAACTTGATTTTACACAAGTTCATCTAAGATAGGCCATCACTCAGACTCAGAGAACCTTTTGTACTGGCCACCTTGATGAGTGTCATACCTCATTTGATTAATTTTGTATAGCAGTACGGAATAAATACTTGTATGTAATAACAAATTCTAACGTGGATGCTAAAAATAAATGGTGTTTGAGAAACAACTCCAACAGTGAATGAAAGTTTGTTTTGATGCCAGAATGATGCATGAAGACAGCTTTTTATGTACATATTACTAATGGAGCAAACATTTTTCAACTGTGTTTAAGATGGGGCCAGAAGCCAGTACATCATTAGAGACTTCAAAGTGGATACAACTGACAGGAAAATAAAGGAAAATGGCTCTGGGGTTAACAGCTTCTGTTAGAGTGAAGCACATAAAAGCAAAGGGGATACCTTCATGATGAGAGTTTATGGGAACGGCTTAAAGGGAAACATTTCAAAGCGACTACTGTGAAAACATGGCTCTTTTCTCTCCCATGGGAGTCTGTCCTGGGACTGTTCCCCTATCTGCCAGCAGGTGGTGCTGTGACTCACAGGTAAGTCCCTTTATACAAGGAGCTCGTGCTGACGCCTTTAATGACCCAATGGAAACCGGTGTTATCTCCAAAAAGACTGTGGGAATTACATTCTTTTGGCTGATTGTACTGAATGTACGGTACAACTTCTAACAAACGCACACAAAATGATTTTTGGTGGAATTTTTATGTGTAATCCTACTGAACCACTGCTGACAAAAGGTAAAAAAGGATTGCAGTGTCACAACTTGAGGTGTGTGAAATAAGGCAACATGGCAATCTATGTTTTTTTAATTGGTGTAATAAATGTTCATTATCACAAGTCAGACAATATAAAGAAAGGAGCATGCAAAGCAATTTGATTAAGAAAATCAACCCATTGTAACCAGAGCAACAGGGAACAGTATTTGCAGGAACCAAATATCAAATTAAAAAAGCTGTTCCATGAACTTTGCTCTGTGATATGAGTTCCCCCTGAGACCCCATTAGGGAATAAGCGCTAACGCTAATGGATGGATGCATGTTTAATGAGGGCCCTGCTCTGCCAACTCTTATTGTCTTATACTTAAATAAATGTATTTGTTTATTTACTTAACAAAGCCATTTATATTTTTTCTATGATAATGATATATATAATTTTATGTTTAGTCTTAGGGTGACAATGACAACTGACAACGCACAACCGATGAAAAATAACCTTTAGGCAAAGCGTCTCCCATGATAAACTCAAATACTCATAAAAAAGACCATTAAAGCAGCGAAAAACTGCCAATTTTGCTCGTAGTCTACTCCTGCATCAGGCCTACAAGTGCAGGTTTGTGATCCTTGTGACTAGATTGTTCACCAGGAAAGTGAGAGGAGCACACAACTAGAATTGACGCTCGAACACACCTCCTCGAGCCTTTATCGGTGGATCTATTTCCCACACCCGTGAACGCATCATCACTTCCTTTCTCCTCCAAGCCGCGCCTCCTTTCTCTTGGTGGGACTGGAGGCTGCCAAACAGAGGGAGGACAGCCTCTCCGTAGAAAAAAAAAACATGTGAAGAGGGGGGGTATATTAAAGAGACGTGTGGAGCGTAAAACTTGCCAGAGTGATAACTTTTTGGTCGCTCTCACCAACTCGTGGGTCGGCGTTTTTTTTTTCTCGGCTTCGCCGGTGAAGCGAATGGACAGAGGAGCAGGACACTCTCACCAACGGCAGAGCTCCCCGTCCGCCCGGCCGCTCACATTGTGTCTGCGTCCGTCCGTCAGCCGTAGGGGGTGGAAGAGGACTCACCGGGTGAGCCGCTGAACTCAAAGTCCGTTTTTCCCTCTGTATAGGCTTCTTATTGGGCTTAGCGAGTTTGAGGGAGAAGCGACAACTTCCTCGGGGGCTCGTGCTCAGTTAGTTGTAACGTGCTGTCTGCAGGCGCTGCTTATACGTGAGGCTGTCCTCTTTCTTTCACACCACGCTTCCTAAAGGTTCCTCTTTCGTGAATAAGTCATTAGTAAGTCCCCCCCCCCCCCTCCTACAGCACCATTGCTAATTATAGAAGTACATCAATGAGTTGCAGAGTCGTCTTGGCCCAGAAATTTCCATGAACCATTTAAGATAATTAAATCCATCCGTGTGACAGCGTCTACTGGCCAGCGTGGACCCTGTGCTGGCTTTGCTGTTCATACTCAGTAGTAACAGCTGGGACAGACTCACGGTGGGATGACTTGTTGTTACACTGCCAGAATCCATCCATTTCCAGAGTAAAGGGTGATTTTCCAGCAGAGGAATGTGTGGCGGTCTGGCTCCAGGGGTTCCCTCCACATCTGTTTGATATTCAGTGGCTCTGAAATCAGCAACAAATCTGAAGAGGTAGCCAGGAGGGAGTCTGTGTGGTTCTTTTCCCAAATACAGTACACCCGATCTCCACTGCGAACCTGGGACTGGAGCAGTTTTTGACCATCTGAGATGTGGCAGTAGCCCTCAGTCCTGTAAAGGTCAGTTGGCAGCAAGGGAGCAGGTGCAGTCTGCCCCCTTTTTTAAGGAGAGGAATGTGACTAAAAACATAGAATCAGAAGGGCTGATGTTACCTCGGGGACCATCCATCCCCATCACACGGCTCCCGCAAAGCAAGTAGACAAACAAAACAAAGGGTTTCGGCATGCCTTCTCTTATAACGGCAAGTTAAAGTTTAAAGGGATAAACATTTTAGACACATGGTAATATGTGCTTGTTGGTGAATAAACCAGCAGCTTAGGGCCTAGTTTATTTTGTGGTTTGCATAAATAAGAGAGAGCTCTTGTGTTGGAGTACTTGATTGTGCATTGCTTTGTTTGGGGGTTGAAGAGGTTTGTTATTGTTCTTGGGTAAATGATGACTAATTTGCTTGTCAGGACAATGGTCTTTGTCCACGTGTGAATGTGTGCGGGCTCGGGGGTGCATTTGAGTGTTTCTCTGAATGTCAGCCACTGCTACCAGCGCTGCGATGTCTGTGCTTGATTACAGGTATTTCCTCCTAATAATAATTAAAAAAGCGCACTCATATCTGTGTTTATACAGCTCCTCTCTACCCGTATCAGATGGGATAGGCTCCCGCTTGCAACCCTCCAGGGTAAAACATAAGATGAAAAATAAAAGAGTATCACGGAGAGTTGTTCATGGTGTTTGTTTTGGAATAAAAGTGCAGCTCAAGCTCTTTTATTTGCACTGTCATTTTTGTATGCTATCCACTTTCATGCACTTCTATTGCCCGTCTGACCTTTCTGTGTACTCATTGCTCACACTGAGGCATAGTTTCTGTTTGCACATTGTGCCGCCCTTCCTCACCTCTGGAACCAAATAGGTGGGTCTTTAAAGCCCGCACACTAAACCTTTTCTGATTTCAAATTCAGATAAGGTTAGTTTTGTTCATATTTATACATGCACTCATATATCTTGAATTTTAAAGGTCATGTTGGTGATTTGGGTGTTTGTGGGTTTAGCAGCTGTGTGCTACTTGCTTCTTTTATGTGAAAAAAGTGTTGCGCAGACTAGAGCTAAAGGGCTTTCCTCCTACCCTACTGTAATTGGGGCCATCTGTTTTGGCTGTTTGTTGTTTTTCTTCCTAGTCTGAAGTATGTTGTGATGCATTGTACACAACCTTCCTCCTTATTGCTGACAAGAGCAGCCATCATCATCCAGCACTGGTCAACGTGGTTGAAAATCATTTTCCGCTTAAGGGGAATGATTGATAGTCATTATAAAACCAAATTATCTGGAGGTCCATGACTGAGTTAGTCAGTTGGTTTCCCCCCAAATCAACCCCAGAACGTTTGACCTCCCACTGTTTTTTCTATTTTTTTAGGAGCTCTAATGGTGTATTCCTTATCTGCTTTGACAAGAATATGCACCTAAAGCTTGGAATCTGTATTTGGTGGGATCTGAAATTGAAATGTGATAGAGGTGGATGTGGACCTGAGACGGAACAGTTGCCTCACGCTGGTGTTTGGGCACCTGGCCCTTTTTGTCTGTCCATCTTAGGTAAGCAGAGACGTGTACCATGCCGACAAGTGATGGTCCCGGCCGCTTCCCCGTCTTTGTGGCTCCGTCTCACAGCACCCCCCAGCGGTGTCCAGGCTACGTTCCCGGGCGGGTGGCCCCCGTCCGCTCCCCTCCACCGGCCAAAGCTCCTCCGCCACCGCCGTTAAAGCCTCGCGGCCCGGAGCGGCCGCAGCAGACGGCCCCCAGCCTGCAGGCGGAGACTCGCCACAGGGAGCTCGCTCAGAGACTCCAGCAAAGAAAGAACACCATTATCTGCTGTGGAGTGTCGCTGTGTGCCCTCCTGCTTACGCTGATCCTCGTACTCAGTCTCAAAAGTGGACAAGAGTTAGATGGTGTGTAAGACAACTGGCTGCCTGAAATATATGTATGATTCTCCATGCAATTAGCTGACTGCACCTATTTTTTTTACATCCACTGTGCCTTGCATCTGATTTGTAAATCATTGTTCATGTTCTCAGAGAATTGTCCAGACCACAGCCCATCCCTTAGTAGCTGGAATCCAGGTCACCAGCTAGATAAGGCGGTTGTTGTCAGGAGGGGGCATTTGTTTAGGCTGGAGTCTTCCTCTACTTTCTTTTCACTCACCATCAAATCAGGAGGTAAATGCATGAAGGTCCAAGATTTGTTGATTAGTGTTGAAAAAAAGACTTATAAAAATTTCTCGGTTTGCCCCCCCCCCCCCCACCCCCCCCGACTTCTCACAGGTCGGGTTGTTTTTGCCGACAACGCTGACGGCTCCAAAAACATAACGCTGAGAACGCACCATATTCTAATTGAGGACGGGGGTGCCCTGCACATCGGTGCGCCCAGATGCCGCTATCGATCCCGCGCCACCATCGCCCTGATGGGCCGCGCCGACAGCAAGGCGCTCTCGGACGTCCCAGGCCTCGGCCGCAAGTTCATCGGGGTTCTGGGTGGAGGGACCCTGGAGCTCCACGGCACAGAGAGGGTTTCCTGGTCGCTGCTGACCCAAAGCATCCCGGCGTCTGGGCTGGCCTCGGGGGGATACGCCTTCCAGAGGAACTTCAGCCGGGGCATCAACCTGCGCCTGGTGGATCAGGACACGGGCGCCGTGCTGTTCTCCGAGCGCTACGACACACACGAGTCCCGCAACGACAGCCGGCGGCTCACTCAGCTCCTTCGCTCGCTGCCGGCGGGCCGCATTGTCACGCTGGCCGTGGGAGACTCCGCGGTCAAAAGTTTTCTGGACGAAACCAAGAAGGCCTTTGAGGAGGTCCTCGGTAGCAGATATGCCCATGACCTCAAGTACAGGTAACCACTGGGGGGTTAAATTCTGAGCGTGTTTTGTTAGTCAGCTGTGTTGCCTGTATTGCTTCCCGCTGGCATGTGGACTAGACAGGACTGTAGGAGTGTGTTGTTTGTCCACGGCCTCCTGGGGCTGATAAAGAAGGTAATTGCGTTTTTGTTTGACTTAAAGGAAACACTCTGATCTTTGAAGTCTTGGCCCTTGGATGTGGTTCCATCCCCATCCTCCCTGGAAACATGCTTTCCTTCGTGTATCGTTTCATTTGGTATGCTCTCTTGAAACCTTTCAAGTCATTTGTTTTCCTGTTTCCTCCGTGTTTCTGCTAGATGGCAGAAAAGGAAGCACGTACAGGATAATGGGGCCACGGTCAGAGTTTCCAGCATTTGTGTTAAAAATCTGGCAATTCAGGAGATTTTCTGTCCTGCTTGTTTATTCTCTCTTAAGAGGACAAACCTAGAAATCTGCAGGAGCCGCAGTCCTACTCAAACGGGTTTTAGCTGAAACAGTCAATGGTTTAAAAGTTTACTTGGCTTGGGATCTTTTCTTCCTGCTACTCAAACTTTCATATGCCAGGTCAGCATTTCCGAAAAGCGTGTGTTTGCAGCTGGACGTGGTTGGATCCTCAGCTCGCTTGAAGCAAGGTTATACGCCAGATTCTCCAGTATCACATTTCACCTCTGGGAGTGGATGCCAAGGCAGAGTATTTCAAACAAATCCCCTTTAAAGCCAGATCTAATGGGCCACACTGTAGCAAAATGTTCAGAGGACATTTATGAAAGTGGCTCTCACACTTAGTCTTTCTCTTTTTCATTCTTTCTCCTTAAAGATCAGGAGTAATTGTGTACATTGTAGTTTTAAAAGACCAAAGGACTGCAAAAGCATGAGCTGATTAGTGACTTAGCATTAGGTTAGCAGGAACCTTTATGACAGCTGACTCTGATGTTGTGCTCTTTGTTGAACTTTACGCCTTTTCTTTAAATCCTTTTCTGTCTGCCGTAACAACGTGCCCAGCCAACGGCCGCAAACACACTGCAACGTACACATGCACTCATTCAGTTGTCAATGGATGGGCGCGATCAGATACGATGTTTGATTGAAAATGGACGATACCCATGAGCGGTGTTTCCCAAAGGCCTCTTGTGCTCCACAGGTTGTGTCATCGGTCCTTCCTGTCAGATTGCTGCTGCCTTGTGGCTGATGACCTCTCTATCTTTGAACTTTTCCCTCACAGTTACACACTAACACATGCATGAATACGAGTTCATGTCGGTCCAAAGTGGAACCACCTCTTGCCAAACAATGAAGCTGTGAAAAGGAAGATCAAATCAAGGACGAGGCGAGGAACGTAATGGTAGAGAGGAGCTGATCCCCAGATGTATCCTGTTATAGTTTGGTGTGCCGTGATGGGAAAAGAAATGGTGTTTGGGTTCTGATTAAGGCAGTGAGATCCGTTATGAAGAAAGACACGTTAACTCTGGAGTGTTTGCCACTTTGGGAGTGGTGCTCAGAGCATACCATGAACTTTTTACATTTTCTTTTACTGTGGATCAATTCCAGCACTAGCTGTTGTTGCAATATAGAATTTGAGAGTGTTTACTGCCCTTGGATTGGGTGGCGCGATGCCTCAGTGGAAACATAACACTTCTGGTGAGATCACTTTCTTCTTGACAGATGGAGCTGCCAACACAGATATGATGAAATGGTTAAATTGTGTGAGACTTTGAGTCGTTGAAGCGCTTAGATGGTGCGTTTCACATTCGAACAGATGCCTTGAACATCTTAACACATGTAGCTTGTTTGGTCTATATTTTCCTTTTTGCTTCCTTTTGGACAAAAGGAAGAAGCTAAAAACATTCGAAGCATAACTTTTGTACACTGGCTTGATTTGAAAAATACGCCCAGTCCCTTTTGTCTTCCACACCCTAAAGATTCTCATCTGAAATGACTGACCCACCCTAATGTTTCATATCACTTAGTGAACTATTCCTTGACACCTTACATTAACCTTTTTAAACTTCTTTATAAATTCTATTTATTCATTTTTATTTTTCTACCTCCTGGCCTGCTTCATGCCTTTTATTTGGTTACACCACTGGTCCATTTGGTTGTGAGCTGGTAAAATATTGAAATATGTGATTCGATAGGAAATGAGCGATTAAAAAAGTTGTGACAGCTTTTAGGGCTCAGAAAGATCTTTTGCAGTTGTTTGATGTGGATGCAGCACCTGTGACTTCCTCCGTCTCTACAGACAAGCGTGGGCGTTGGTCTCTGTGGTTGGCGGCGGTAACGGATCGTGCTCAGAGGATGTGAGGGAGCATGAAAACCTGGACACGGGAGGGAGAGCTCTGGCAAGACGCAACTTCACCACGGTGGACGGAGTGGGCTTCTCAGTCACAGCCTACAGCGAGTGGAGGAATGGTGAGAAGCCATTTGAAAGCCGGAATTCTTTTTTGCCATTCTGGCAGTGATTGTACCAGTGGTGGTCCAGATTTTTTATCCAAAGTTATGGTACAAGTTACATAAGCTCGAAAGAAATCTTTCCTAGAGCCTGACTTGCTTTTCCGAGCGAGGTTTCTCAGAATGCTCTGAGTGGAGACTTTCTTTCCTCCTGACTTTCTGTGAAAGAGGAGGTCTTAGGTGCACTGACATAAAATCTTAGCAACAGTCTAACGAGAGTTGGTAAATTCACAAAGTAAAAAATCAGTTACGGTTATTTGGCAGTAAAAAAACAACAGAATTCCGAGTTGGACTCTTCAAACAAGTTGTCAGCTGCTGCCTTTAAGGGGGAACTGTTGCTCTGTTTAGGACCAATACAAAAATGGACAACAGGTAAAAGATGCTCACCGCTTCTGTCAAAAGGCTGAAATTCAGCAGCGGAGGACTTCTTTCTCTTTATTTAGTCACTCCTGTAAACTTTAATAGTTGTCTGAGATTTGTGTTCAACAGTCACTTGACTGCTTTGCACTTTCCGGAACAAAGATTCTTGTGTGCACTACATTGTTAACATTTTATCATAAAGGTTATTTGATCCTGGGGGTGAAGGGAAATACACTCAGTTTTTCGGTTCAGAAAACCCTAACCCCCGACCCATCTTCCCCAGGCTACCCCATTATGGGCTTCCAAGTGGATGCTGTGGACCAGGTGGTGCTTAACCTGCAGGATGAAGTGCAGGAGAGCTGGCAGCCTGGAGATAACATTGTAGTTGCCAGCACTGACTACTCCATGCATCAGGCTGAAGAGTTTACCCTGCTGCCCTGCTCCCAGTGCACCAGCAGACAAGTCAGGATACAAGGTGAGAAAGAGGGCCGCATCAGAAGTTCTTGTTGTGCTTCTTTGATTGCTGACTAAAGGCAGCTTTGTCTTTGTTGGAACAAGAAGACTTCCTTTTCATATAGTCAATAAATGTGATAAGCAGATGTTTAGCAATTAATCCTCAAGTCTGGCGGACTCGTTATTTCCTTTTCAGATGTGGTGATGCAAGATTATTGGACGGGGCTTGGCGCAGATTATCGTCTTATGCTTTAATAGTAACTTCATTTTATAATGACTGCAGGGATTTCGGGGATTTGGATGAATTGCCTTTGCTTGACATCCTGTTACCTTGTTCCCATCGAAGACATTCTGTCGAATACAAATGTTTCCAGAATGCATTCCACTCGTCAACAAATTCCAACTCCCTTCAAGGAGAGCAGGGCGTGTTATTTGTGTTTGATTTTCTTTTTTTCCTTCTCTTTTTTTTGTGCTAATGTACCAAAAGGCTGAGCAACTGTACATCTGCTTAGCATAATCACTAGCAGCTGCAGGCTTGGGGCAGAGGGGGCTTTCTGCATGTTAAGATGATGTGCTGTTCTGGATTTTCTGCATTTCTTCTTTTATTTCATGCACTCAGAGGTGCCATCATCACTGTAAATTTGTCCGATAGACCTACACATATTCTCTATTAAAATTCTTATATTTCCGGAGTTTCTGACTAAGAATCTGCCTGTTTAGGGAAGCCTCTGTACAACCATGTCGGGGAGGTACTTGATGGAGTGGACATGCGTGCTGAAGTGGGTCTGCTCTCCAGAAACATTCTCATCTACGGAGAAATGGAAAGCTCCTGCTACGGAAACATGTGCCAGTTCTTTGGCCACGACACTTTTGGAGGCCACATTAAGGTTTGTCTGTGGGAACGTTTGTCACTGGTTTGGCCTGCGCTTTATTTCTATATTTCCTGATGTCTCTCAAGCTTACTTTTACCTTCTTGGTAAAGGTCACAGTGTCTGCAGAGACCTGCTTGACAGTCTCCATACTGAGAGCATAAATTTGGCATGAATTCTACATTTACATGTCGCCCTAAATCAGAGGGCTTATTCATGTCTTCGGCTCACTTTGGGAGGTTGCCCAAACTTAGGGCATCAGCATAAACAATTAATGTTCATGTATGTTGGTGGAAGTTTAAAAAGACCCATAAGTCTTTGGGTGTTATTATGTGTTTGGGCTTTTGGTTTTTCCTGCTGAACAGGGACCAGGCCCTGTGACTATTCCATGCAAAACACCTCCCACAAAGTCACTTTTGGTAAATTTTGTGTGAATCTTTATATCCTGTCCCCTCCAACACAGGTCTTTAATAACTTCTCATCAGTGCATCTATCCCACGTGGAGTTGAAGAACCTGGGTCAACAAAGAGAAAAAGGCAGGTACCCCCTCCACTTTCACATGTGTGGCGATGTCGACCGGAGGGGAGGCTACTTGGAACCCACCTATGTGGACGGACTGTCCATACACCACTCCTTCTCCCGCTGCCTCACCATACATGCCACTAATGGGCTGCTGGTTAGTAAACAGTGTGTGTGTGTGTGTGTCGCGAAATCTGATGTAGAACTGTTTATATTTATGAGTGCTATTTGGGTCTGACTGTCAGCATATTCACCTGTTTTAGTCTTAATAGCCCTATTTTTCTTTTCTTTAATCTCACCTCTAAGGTATAAGGTTTCAAAAACCTATGTTCATGTTTATATGTGTGTGTGTTTGTGTGTGTCTTTGAACAGTGAAATCAGGGATTAGATGGGGCTTATATGATACTTTTATGATTCACTTACATACTTTGTTTAGTTACATTTTCATAAATGTTTTGGATAAAATGAAAGTATTTGCATAATTCCCTTGACTTGTCATGTACTTTCCTAAATAGTTCTCTTTATCCTTTCATTATCTACATTTAGTCATCTAGCTTATGATGAAAATTAGGTAGAAGTCCATTTCTAAAATTCTAAGAGGCAGACCTATTAAGTCCTTGAAATGGACCATAATGTTTCCCACAGGAAAACATTCCACATGGTTACATATTTGGAGGAGACAGTTTTTTTTTCTTTTTTTAAAGGAACATACTTTAAACTGGATTTAAACCACCATTTATTTCCCTCTAATGCTGAGAACTCAGCCTAAGCCCCTTTGTGCTCTCTGCTGTGCACAATAATCTTGTTGTTGTTGTGTCTTTGACCCAGGTGAAAAACACTATAGGTTACGACACATTGGGCCACTGTTTTTTCCTCGAGGATGGGATCGAACAGCGGAACACCTTGTACCACAACCTTGGCTTGCTGACTCGGCCAGGGACGCTGTTGCCAACCGACCGCAATGAGACTCTGTGCACTACCATCAAGGACAAAGTCTACACCGGCCACACTCCTTCACCAAGCACTGAGTGCAAGTAAGAGACTCAGTCATTTCAAGGTGGTTATAACCAGTGAGAATGCATCACCACTCCATCAGATGTTATTATTAGTTTTATGCTAAAGTATGGACATTTTACTTCTCGTAAGTTGTCATTTCTAACAAAGAGATGAAAACTATTTTGTATATGTTTGTTTTTTGACTAGTGTGATTAAACACACAGGATTTTGTTTGGGGTTTCTCTTTTCGACATTTAAATCTATGTCAGTGTCGCAGGAGTCAGCGTGAGAGATTGACTGAGATGGTGCAGACGCACCTTGAGAGAAAGCAGATGTTTCACGTCCATGTGAGACAGACACTGCACAGGGTAATACTGTGTGAAGGAGATATTGGCAGGAGAGTTTTATCAGAGGAATAACAAGCCTTTCCTGCTCTCAGTGGGACATTTTGATGTCCAAAAACAAGAAAAGTGCCTCTGTGCGGAAGCAGCAAGGTCTGTCTCCAGGAATTTTTGTGTGTGTGTGAGTTGTGAGTCTTGGCAGAGTCTTGTTCAGAACCTCTCCAGGTCTGATGCTGGTTAGGGGGATTATTGAGAAATATTGCAGGATGCTTTGATCCATATTTGTGCCGATGAGTCACAGTGACCGCTGACCTAAGATATCAGGCTGTGTACTTTGTGTGTATTTATGCCTTTCGTGTGTCTGTGTGCATTGCTTTCCAGGGCGGTCTCAACATTTTGGATTGCCAACCCCAACAACAACCTCATCAGCAATGCAGCTGCTGGTTCTCAGGTCGGTATCTATAAGAAAGCAGTTTCACAATAAGTCCTCTAAATTCATTAAAAAGAATATGAAAAAATAACAAGATAAGGACAAGATTGAGTAAGAAGAGCCCCTTATTGAATGTTACCTAGTTACTATGAAGGCAGTCAGCTAGATGACCTCATATCATCAAAATTGGGAAGAAAAAACATCCTGCTCATAACAGATCCATCGATAAAATTGGACTTACCAGGTTTTACTTTTGAAATCTCCAATAACTCTGTGAGACCTTTTAATATAGAAGTTTTAATTTAGGGTTAAGTGTTTACAGACCAGGGATATACAGTACATTATTTACTGGTAGGAGTATTCCAGGTGGTTTTTCTGTTTAAATCTGATGAACTGCATGCTTGAACTCTTACGTCTGCTTAACTGTAGCTGTTGGACCTGAACATGAGCATAGCACAACACCCTTCCCAGCGCTGTGGAGCGCCTTTGTATTTAATTGAAAATAAAGAAATAACTGCTGCTGAGCGGCAGCGGTATCAATGCTATTGTCTTTATCACTCATTTCTGTGCTCTTCCTTCCTGTTCCAGGATGCTGGGATATGGTTTGTGTTCCACAGTTCATCCACCGGAGACTCTCATGGGTTGGTACCAGAAACCAAGGCAGAGCTCACGCCTCTTGGAATTTTTTACAACAACCGTGTGCATTCTAACTTTAAGGTATCATTAGTTTTGCTTTTCATACGAACATTGCATACATTACACTATACAATGGTATGCTAGATTTGTGCATTTTTTCCCTCTCTGGTCCTGTGTTTCAGGGAAAAACAAAAAAAACAAAGTCTTTGCAGCTAAATGATTATTGAACTTGATTCTCTGCTTACCCACTTGGTTCTTGCCAAAAATAGGCATGAACACACATATATATACACACATAGACGTGCGAGCGGGTTCCACAATGGTGCTCTGTTGTGTAATGACAGAAATCAGGCAGGTGAACTGTAAGCTCTTTGTCCACTGCAGCCTCTCACAGAGGAAGGAGCCCTGAGGTTAAAGACTAAACCTCAGTCATAGCAACTCACGGCATGCGTTTCTAATGTGTACGACACACACAGCTGTATCATATTTATTCCTCAATTTTTAAAAAATTCAAATTTTGCAGCAAATGAAAACATGCATATACGTTAAATGCACGTTAGTGATCCATATAAACTCTGTGTGCATCTGTTCATGCAGCGTTGTACAACTTGATTCTGTAGTTGTTTAAATGTGTGTATTATTGGCACTTCACACAAAACACTCTAAAATATAAAAGCTGTCTTATTTGTGTTTTAAAAAAAAAAAGTTCTCTATGTTTAAAAATGAGAGAACTTTTTGAGTTTCTTGATGTAATCGTACTGTCCCCCTCTAGGCCGGGCTGTTCATTGATAAAGGAGTGAAAACTACCAACGCCAGTGCGGCCGATCCCCGTGAATACCTCTGTCTAGACAACAGTGCCAGGTATGTCCAAATCAGAAATGAAGTTTTTCCTTTTTCTGAGACTGCACGCTATGCATACCTTTTGATATTTAATTTAGACTTTCTTAGAAAAAAGTGCCTTTCCCTCTACATATTGAGCACTTGCTGTAATTGCTCTGTTAAATGGTCTGTGGTTGATTATCACATTCATCACAGTGTTTCATTACACTGTGTCAACATAAAGTATTTGTGGTCCACTAATTTATTTGTTTAATACCACAGTCAATAGATGTTTATGAATAAGGGTATTGAGAGAGCCTTGTTTTATATCTACTGGGACGTGGCCATTGACAGGAATAGATAGATGGGTTACTTTACAGTGTGTTGCTGCATTTTAGAGGAAGGTCTGTCAAGTTTTTGTTGACAGAGAAAACAAGGCTTCACAGATAGTTTCCACTCTGCAGCTCCTTACCCAAACGCAGCCCTCAACTAGATGGAAAAAGTCTTATGTGTCCACCGAGACTGCTGGCTGTGCACACAGTCATGCACTCTGTGAGTGTGTGTTACAGAAATATGTAGCAAAGAGGCTTAAATACTGAAAGGTGTCCAGATGTCTGCAGGGGGGATTGTTGAAAATTCCAATGTGACGATTTGAAATTGTTCCAAGCTCCTATTTTTCCAAATATGAATTTGATTTAATTGTAATTGCAGTGGACCAGGGGGGGATGAAACCTTTTGTGTCACCATTTTGGCTGCAGTGAGCACGGCCTTGCACATGAAAAATCCCACAATGGGAGGGGGATTATTTGCTGTGTGGAGCGTCACAGTTAATGATAAAAGTATGTCTATTCGTCCGGAAATTTTCTCAGATTCCGACCCCACCAGAACGCTGACCCCAGTCGTCCTCGGGTGGCAGCAGTCATCGACAATCTCATCTCGTTCAAGAACAATGACCTAGGAGCATGGATACGGGGTGGAGACATCATCATCCAGAACTCTGGGTGAGACGGATTGGGCTCAGTGATTCAGTTCCAGTCAGCTGAGCAGCCAGCTCATTCCCTCTTCCTGACAGACAAATAAGAGCACCCTGCATCAAAGGGATTTGGATTTTAGCTGAAAATATGCAGAAAAGTATTAGGATTCCAGTATCTGCTTTTAGTAAATAAAAACATGTTGTCTTTAAACATTGCCTTTTTTAAAATTCTTTTAACATTCCAGTGGTAACATTGGAATGACAGTTTTAAATATTGTGGGATTTGTGCAGCTTTGTTAACTAAAAGACTTTGACTTTATGTTCCTTATTTTTAAAATAATCATTGTCTTTACTGAGATCCTAGACAAAGGCACTGGAAAAAAAAAAGAAAAGTGCACCGTTTCAAATTGAAAAAAATTTCACATCATCGCTTTCATTCTATTTGTCAAGGCATGTGACTCTTATCATTTTCATCCATTTTTTTCAGCTTTGCTGACAATGGAGTCGGACTCTCTTTTGCCAGGTGTGTATTCTCATCCACGCATATGATTTCTGGGTTTCTCCTTTTTCTGCTGCTGTCAGATCGACTTAATCTGTTTCAGTAAAAATCGTCTCTTTGTTTTATGATTCGCATGTTTTAGTGAATAGTGAGTATCACACTCCTTCTAATGTACTCCTCAGTGATGGCAGCTACCCTAAGGATGAGGGTTCCAGCCAGGAAGTGAGGCAGTCATTGTTTGTGGGGGAAAGCCAGAACAGAGGAACCAATGGTGGACAGAATAAGTACTGGGGAATTGGAGGGGCTGATGGAAAGATGAGGACTCTGCCTAGAAACCGGTAAGGATGTGCAATTAGTGATTATGAACAGCCCAATCAAAACCAAATGAGTTTTTTTTATTAGGATTTGTAGATAACAGGGCTGAAGTAGAGAATCTTCAGGAGGGGTGGATAAAGAAAAGGTCACCATATTGTAGTTGAGACTGTCTTTCAAGTGTAAATGATGTAATGAACATAAGTTCTGTTAGACTCACTTCCCTTTCGCACATGTGGGAGCAGGTTGTGACGGCATCATTCTTTCCTTGGAAGGGAAATACTGCAAAATGTGGCAGAATCATTAAAGATCAAGTAAATGTATTCATTCCCCTTTTTCCCTGTCATTTTGGATTTAAAATCAGTATGAATATCAAGATTTCGTCATTGGTTTTGCCCTTTAACAGGTAAATCAGATCTGTGTCTGATCCGACCAGATTCTGTCAGAAGGAGGCTCTCTGACGATTACTTCATTTTAAAAAACCCAGTCACTGTTTTTTCAATGTCCTTTGAGGATCCTCCTGTCAGCATCCTATTTTACATTCCCATTTTTTCCATATCTTTTTAAAACAAAAGATAAGAGGAGCATGACCAGAAAACTGGAAAATATCTGTTTTTAGTTTGAAGAAAAAGGCAAATTGTCCCTTTGTGAACTCTATGTACAACTTTACTTAACTGTTTTATACGCTTCCAGAACAAACTTTGACAACTGCCTCTGTCAGTATTTCTGGTGTCAGTATTTACAGCTAAATCTGCTGACATCTTATTTTGTCCCCAAAATAGAATAATGACTAAATCTGTATACTTCATGGGACTTTTGCAACTATTTGTGTCGACTTAAGTTCTTCCTGTTCTTGAAAAAATAGCATTTGGCACTCAGATGGTTCTTGGAAGTCAAGTAAAATCTTTTGTTTAAAGCAGGAGATAAGTCAAATACCCTCCCTAACCCAGTTTGCTCAACTAAATTCTACAGTGGAACACAGTTTTGCTGCTACTTAAAATTTTTCTCCATACGGTTACAGTTATTCTAGTTATTTTTTTTGCGGTGCAAAATGTTTCACTTTTAAATTTTTCTAGAGGGTTTTTATTTGTTTTTGGTGTCAGGACATTTCCAATAAGAGGTTTCCAGATATACGACGGCCCAGTGCGGCTTATGCAGAGCACATTTCGCGGATTCATCCCCACACCAGAGCGTTACACCAGCGCAGTGGGATTCAACTTGAAGAACACGTGGCAGCTGACCCCACGAAACAACCTGTCCCAGCTCACCTTCCACCCCACTGTGAGTTAACATTCACATGAGTAGCTCCAGTTGGGTCAAACAGCAGAAAATGGATGCCATGGATGTCTGCGCCATTAAGCGGCGCAGCGCACCACTGGCCACAGATTGTTTACAGGACATTACACCTAGTGTCCATTCAACCTGCACTTTGTGTCACTAATATGTGACACTTGTGGCTTTTTGTAATCATTTGAAGGGCTTAATTTTCAACAGTTAAGTTATGCCAACTCTTTATTTTAAATTGTCCCCATTTTTTTTTATTTATTTCCGATCATCTTTATTTTGTTATTTTTTTATTCATGGTTTCCCTTTTAATTGTATGAAAAAACTACCACATTTACTGAGATTCCATGTGGCCTGTTTTTTTTCTTTTTCTTTGGCAGCTTATTAAGATTTGTTCTCTCCCCTGCAAGCATCTCAACATTTTTATTAGATCACATCAGAGTCTTGGCTGAATGCAGTCAGGAGTTATTTTAGGCACCCAGGGACTCCTTATAATTGTCTGTCCTGTGGTGAAGTAATTATAGATCAAAAGTGCCCTCTTGTGGTGGCAAGAAATAATAATGCTGGATCTCCATGTCATACAACAGGACCGATCCTGCATCCTATGATTTTTACAAGTTATTAAAACATTCACTGTGTTTAGGGTTAGCGATAGGGATATTTTCTGCTATGTTTTATTAATGTATATATCTTTTAAACATTTAAAATGTAACTTTTAGACCCCCCCCTCATTAAAGTGAAACTTTGATCTCTTTCAACCTCCTCTTACTTCAGTGTACTTGAAGCTACAAACACCATTCAACTTTTAACTGGCTCTCTGCTATTACCTTTTATCTCCACTCTTTAAAATAATTAGCAATTTTCCGAATGTGATGGTTTCATAATCATGCACAGAACTCAACGGGCTTGTGACGTCTATTCTAGTATCGGGGTGGTGCCGGTCACTTTAATCAATCGAATCACTTAATTAATCTAATCAATCTTATCACATCAGATTTGACCTTTTTCATGAGAATTTTTTAATCTATAAAAGATATTGTGAAGGAATTAAGTGAGAAGTGTGAATGGGGGCGATTGTTCTTTTAAACGTAAGGTCCTTAATAAATGTTAATTTAGTGTTATTGTTAAATAACTATTACATTTACTGGTTAGATAGCAGCTTCATTAAAGAATGACTTCACTAACTAGCCTTCAATGAACTGTTGAACAGTAATTAAATGATGGCATTAATAGTTCCCTCACTAATTGTATAATCAGGTGGCTCTCCGAGCCTTCTTCGGCCGTCCAGGACAGTGGTTTGAAGACAATGACCTGGATGGTGATAAGAACTCCATCTTTCACGATGTCGACGGGTCAGTCGCAGGTTATAGCGACACATACATCGGCAGACCAGACAATTACCTGATCCAACATCCTGGCTGTGTGAAATTGCCTCCGTGGAATGGAGTGACCTGCAGTGGCCGTTACTCCCAGGTACAGCACATCAGGTTATGTGCAACACCATTGTTCCCTGTGCATTCCCCTGACCCTTACAGCCCACATCCCTCTGTGGTGCAGGTGTACATCCAGACTCAGGCAGCACCTAGCCTCAGCTTGTCCATCATCAGAGACGAGTACCCCGATGCTCCTCTGGTCCTGCGGGGCATCAACAGCCAGGGAGCGTCATCTCAGCAGTACCAGCCCATCCTGATGATGAGCAAGAGTTACACTCTGCACTGGAGTGGGCCTGCACCCAGAGAGGTTGTCATGTCTCTGATCAACTTTGATGAGTGAGTGAAAGCACTAGCAGCCTCCTGTTTTTGTATGAGTTTAATCACTTTAACCTGTTAGCAGAAAAAAGTAAAGATGAAATAAACATAATTTAACTGACCTGAAAACGTTGCCGTCGTTCTCCCACCTAGGGATGACTGGGCACTGGTGGGTCTCTGTTACCCATCAGACACCACATTTCAAATCATGGCCGACATCTACGACAGGCAAAAAAACACCTTCGATGACATCACAGACTACGGCACCGCACAGTCTCTTGAACAGCTGCAGAGAAAACCGCTGGAAAGGAAATACTACTTTGATCAATCTGTGGGGTAGGAAAACTCAGTCAGTCGATTCAAAAAAGTTTTAGCATTAATACTGACAAAGTTTACAAAGGTAGACTTTCTGACTCCCGTTGCGTAGGAGTCTGCAGCGCATCTTTTAATTCTAAAGTTTATTGGTTTCTCGTCTTCATTCATACAGGTTGTTGTGGCTCTACCTACGGGCCCGACATGGCCGCGACGGCCACAGCTACTGTTCAACAAAAGGTTGTGAAAGAGTAAAAATCACGGCCACCACATCGTCCAAACAGACCTGTAACTGCACAGCTAAGGCCTACCCCAAATATTCCAAGACTCCCTCTGCTGTGGTGCCTATGCCGCCTCTAAACAAACAGCCATGCAAAGACTGTGGCACTCAGCAGGTTGGTATTAAAGAGTGCTGCCATGTAGCCACTTAAAGCAAAACTCAACAATATTGATCAACATTTCATTTTTTTCGGCTTTAGCTTGTGTTTTCCAGTGAGCCATGGTCCTCCTACCTCCAGACTCAAGTAAAGTCTCTGAGCCCTAAAGAGCAGCAGAGGGGAGAAAACACCTCCTTTATTACTGTGAGGATTTTAAGCTGCAAAAGCAAACTTCACCTCATACATATCAAAGAAATTGCACGCTTTGATTATTTAACAATTTTAGCTTTTCTTTCCAGGTAAATGAGGTGACCATGCCCTTCTTCCAGCCTGGGTTTTTCCTGGTTTCCGTGGATGGCTGTTCTGGGAAAGTCACCAAGAAAACCTCATTTTCAAAGATGGATGCTAAGATGGAACAGTATCTAAAAACCGGAATACCAAAGCGGTGAGCCACAAAAAACTAACTGTGTTCACAACTAAATTTGAAAGGGTTAAAGTGTGAAGAAACTTTTTCTATGTGTGTTTCCAGGTCAGTCGTGCTCATGGCAACAAGAGGCCAGCCCACTGGTCTGGTGGACCTGGCTCCACATCTGGTTTCCTTTGGCTTGGCAAAATCTGCTGATCTGCATAGTAAAGGTAAGTGCCATACTCTGTTGTTTTCAGTTCTGTTGCTGGCCTGCAGCTGCCTCTCTTCGGCTGCTTTTTCTTACCCGCTGTTGTTCCGGCCTCTCATTACAGACAGTCTGGCCCTCTGGGGGTTCCGAGGAGGTGCTTCTCCGCCTTCTTGGGTCACCCTACGTGTCGGTCAGCGGGATGACACCCTTGGGCTGCAGGAGCGCTACTTGCCCCTGGGTTTAGAGATTTATGGCTGCGTGCCGCCTGCAGCTAAAAAACGCAAAGACCTGGAGCTTCTCAAAAAAGCCACGCGGCTACAATAACCAATGTGAACAACGCGTCTACTCAACGTGTCTACTTGCACACAAATACACAAACACACAGCCAGCTGATGAATGTGAACTGCTGAACCTTTAATTTATTAACAGTAATGAAGATGTTTACCATTGACGAGTGGAAAGAGGGTGTGAACGGGGTGACTGTTTTTGTGATTTTGTGTGTATGTTCGTATGCTTTAGGGTCGCGAAGTCAATGCACTTTCTTTTTTTTGGAGATAAAACAACATGCCTTATCAGCCAAAGTTTTCCGAAGTAGCTTTACGTTAACTTTCCCAAAATATTTTTTATTATGCAGCAAATGGAAAAAAATAAACTGTTGTTCACTGGGGACACAACATAATGGATTAGACACACGCAGTCCCGGAGAAAATCATGAAAATAAATAGCGTTTTCTATGAAATGAGACATTTGAGTGGAGCTGAAAATTAAATGGGCAACTGAGAATCAAACATCGATATTAAGCCAAAGCCGGACATGGTGTGATAAATCAGAGCCAGCGGGTTATCCTGCGTTAGTCAGTAGAATGGCAAAATCTAATAACAAGCCATATTCGTATTGATATTTTCAGTCATATAGTGATGAACCGTAGTGGGTAGTCAGATTAATCGGGCTGTTTTGCTTTTCTGTCAGAACTGCCATTAAATAGGTAAGGCCTTTTCCCACCTATTCAGCATCTGCACCAACCGGATCTTCTTCTAGAGAAACCTCTGATCATCGTGCAGCTGTACAACTATAGACTTCAAGCACCTTTTTGTGGATTCCTACACGGACTTACTGGATCTCAGATTTTATTTATCTTTTTTCCCACTGTTGGGCTCCTACCTGCAGAACAAGTAGAAATTGTATTTCTTTTGTTTGTTTCCTTGTTTGCTTTCTGAAACGGAATTGAATTGAATGTTTGTGCGTGTGTCTTCTGTCTGCCTCATTCATGAGCTTTATGTGCGTGTCGTTGTCAAATGGCAACGTTGAGATTTAATAACCGGAAGCCTTTTTTTGTACTCAGTGCAGTAGTGAGCAGCCGATGTATTCCGACCTGCTGAGAGATAGACGGCTCTACTTTGGGACTACGTATTCTTTTAGTGCATGTCTGGATGTGAGCAGGGCTCCCCCACTGAGCAGCGATAAGCATCTTTTTCTGATTGTGTGGTTCTGACTGACCGATCACGTGAGATGGAGGGAGGACAATGACCTTGTTGCCTTTGAACCACTCTACTGTTAAAGAGCAGAATAATGAGATGTCTCCACCTTTAACCTTTTGTTCATGTGATACTTTGAAGATGCACAACCAGTTTGTACTTTTTTTTATTATTACAAATTGTGTAAATATGGTGTCGACTGTCTGTAGACCAACTTCTCTGTGTTGTATGTATGTGGAGTGTTTTTTTTCTCGGTTTCTAGAGATTAGGACTTTTTAAAAAAATATTTTGACATGAAAATTCAGTATTGGCCATGAAATTACAGATTGAGTACTCTTCATTATTTGTAATTCGATCTAATCTTTTATTTAGATGCTTAGAGAAAGAATTACCTGTCATTACAAGTGCAAATGCTTTTATGTTTGGAATTGCTGGAATAAACTGGTAAAATGGTTAAGTCAACTTGGTCCTTACGTTTGGTTCTTTTTTATTTCCTTGGAAAATTTTCAACTCTATTTAATTTTGCAAACCAAACAAGGACATTGGGATAACATGTGCTCTCATTGATTTGGCAACCCTTACAGTATCCAGTATAGAGAGGTTTTTGCCAAAAAAGGTATCTATATGTGCCATCCTGATATTGTCCTGGCTCCAGGGCTGTGATGATTGATTGTTCTGAATTACATTGTGCACATTCCACTTGCTCTCAAAGTAAGTTTTTTTAAATTAAAGGCGAAAAGAATAACAATTGTTACAAGTAAAGCCAACGTTTTTAATTTAGTTAATATCTTTGTAGTTTTTCTTCCACTGTGTTATTTGTGCACAAAGTTACTTACAGAATAAAGCAAAATGCTGCAGGGCCAGCTGTGCACATTTCACCCATATGGCTCAGACACTGAAGTTAGTTGACCATGGACACCGAGTGACTCCACACACTTTATATGGTTCTCTAAATGAGGGAGGACAGGACGGAGTGGTGCCATTTACTGCTAAAATGATAATGATGGAAGCTCTTTCACAATCAAACGACCGCCACAAGGGGAAAAAAACACACCGAGTGGTGGTATTGCTCTGACCTTCCCATTGACTGGTTTACACCCATTTACACTTTTACTTTCAGACTCATTTGTCTTTGTAAGCATGTATTTGACACAAGCAATGAAAAGGCTTAGTGTCCTTGTTGCTCTATCGAACTGATTATTCTTTACAGCTGAGTTTTTAATTACGTAAGACTCAGGCTTTTGAACTGTTCAAATACATTTAGAGAAATGCCAGATCTAAAAATATCATGATACAGACCTGTGTGGGAAGCAGCCTTTAGCACTGTTCTGTATATTGTATTCACAAAGGGTATAACTATGGTAACACAAACGTGTATCACAATAGTTATTCGGTCTCAGTAATCTCAACCAAAGCAATTCATTTACAATTTTCTTTAACCGTCTTTTAAAGGATCATTGGAAAGCAAAAGAGAAATTGAAAGCTTTAGCTTTGACTGAATCAATTGTTACTGAAAGTAAAATATAGAAATAACCCTGAGCACCCATCTGATTGTGTGTCTATGTGCTGTATCTTGGTTAAGACGAGGGGATGGCGAAACCCACAAAGGAACAGGGAGAACACACAAACTTTACACGGGAAGACTTCAGCTGAAAGGCCAAAATAGTTGTATGTTGACAGGACAAACCACCTAAACCACGCTCAAGAAGATTTTTATCCTCCTATGCTACTTTTTATTGTGTTCAGCAGTTGCTGTCATTATGTGTTTTTTTTTGCCTGAGGTTCCCAGCAGCACTTCACTGCTCAGCACTCTCCATCTGATCCTCGTTGCAATTATGGCTCGTTTTTATGTTTAATTTATGCTTAATTCTCCTTTTTGTGTGTGTCTTCCCTCATGTGTTCTCAAACCCCAACTGTTTGAGTCAAATGGCCGCCCTTCCTGAATCTGCTTCTGCTGGAAGTTTCTTCCTGTTGTAAGGGATTCTTTTCCCCTGAAAAGTCATCTGGCACATGCTCAGGATAGGGGACTTGATCGAACAGAAGATTCAGTGCAATCTTATGGTTTCCATAGCCATCATCTTTTTTTAATTGACTCTGTATGGATATAAAAATAATTTAATTGAAGTCTCTGCCGCCTTTTCTTTTCTTTTTCTAACTAAGATCTTTTGCCTTCAATTTGTTTGCTTCTGCTATTCAACACATTGTCATTTTTGATGGTCCAATTAAAGTTCATGATAAACTCCTTTTATTACATAAAACGCATTAGTTCAACCACACCAAGTTGCAAAAAGAATTCTAAGTGGTTAAAGATTTTTCTATTCTAAACTAAATGACTTTTAGATAAACAAGCATCCTTTTGTTATTATTTTTGCTTGAAAAACCTCTTTGGGTGCATCACCACACTGGTAACATATAAACACACCATAATATACAATTATTGAACAAAAAGTCTGTTAGTAGCCAACCATCTTCTGTTATTTCAATGATTATTTTAGCCTTGTTCCATGATTACCTTTAAAATGTCCTATATTGCTATTACTTATATAATTTCTTATTAGCTGTATTTTTCAGGCTTAAAGTTTGCCAGAACCTGCAGTCATCTGATTTAGTGGAAGTGCACCATACCCACTTCAAAAAGCTTCAAAAGTTAAAATTATATTTAGATTGATATTCACCTGTAGCGAAAACTAACATGACTCCTGACATTATAAAGAATTGCTTCCAGCCTAACTTAGATTATCAGATTATGAGAGAGAGTTTCTGTGTGCATGGCAATGTATCAGGTAGGGGGGAGGCTCATCACCTCCACCGCTATAGTCAAGGTAAGTTCATTTGTGTTTCAAAACTTGGCATATGGCGCAACGTTTTTAAATCTTTGCATTCAGTCTTTTCAGTGTTTCCAGTCGATGCTGTGCTGATGCTTAGTGATGGTGGTCCTGAATAATTAAACAGGTCTGACAACCATGTAGGGGTCCGTTTCCATGACTACCCCTCTCCCCGTGTCCTCACAGCCCTGAGGAGTAATGTAAATCTCCTGTCAGCTTAATGTCACAGTAACTCCAGCCAAGTGCCACACAAACACACGTGGGCTGGGGTCAGTGGGAGCTTTTGACTGCGCGCACAGCCTCATTTCCTCTCGGTTCAGTGTTGTCACACAAGTAAGATTTGGTGGAGGGTCTGTGATGAGATGGTCGAGAGATACGCACACTGTTATACAGATGGAAGGGGCTTAAAAGGGCCTGATGAGATCCTGCACCAACAAACATATATAAGGATATCGAAGGAACCTAATATGTTTAATGCCTGTCACTATAACCATCCACTTGTAGAAACTGACCACGAGAGGCTGCTTATTAGTCAGCGTCGAGATGGAAAGGATTGCTGTAAGGTCACAGAGAAAATATTTTAATGATGTCCGTAATCCTCTCTAACAGTATGGTGGCATATTTGTGCTTCTGAGCGTGGCCCCACACCCACCCATACACCCAACAGCACTCAGACATAGGCAATTACCCTTTAACATCAAATGGTTCATCAGTTTCCTGAGCCATTAGACAGTGAATTAACCTTATCTAACTCTGGATGAAGAGGTATGGCTATGGCACTCCACAGCCTTGTACTAGTGTGAGCTGTTACTCGAAAACACGATGTGCACTTTTCACACAGCACAATACTGGCTAATCACAGCCAAGAAATGCAATAAAAAAAGGATTATGATGCAGTTATTTACAGTCGGATGTGCTTATTCCGTACTTTAATCATTCAGTAATTGAATATGTGGCTGTGAGTTGGGAATTAAATTTGAGGCTTTGTTATGTTGAAAACCTAAAACCCAGCATGGGACTTCTAAAGCCAAACTTTAACTCGGTGGGTCTGTGATGATTAGTGGTGCAATGATGTATGTAACGAGGATTTGAAGGAGCTTTATTAATCCTGTCATATTAAATTTAATTTTGTGTGGCTGTAAAGGGACATTGTGGAAGCCAATAGGGGCTAAATGTGATTCTTTCAACAGAATGACAGTTTAGTGCCATTGCTAAGGACTTTTTGAGCACTTTCCCAGCTGTTGCTCACTGGCAAAGTCTGTTATCATGAGGCAGTTTAAATGTTTATGAAAGGAGGAAGCCATCAGTCTTTGGCAATCACATAACGGTGACTGCAAAAATGACAATTATCGTGGTTGCAATCTCACTTGTTGCTGTCATGCTGTTAGTTTCTGTCTCCAAACAGTCTAATTGTTCCTTTCAGACCAGAGGTCCATTGGAACAGAGAACAAACAATCCGACTTCAATGGAGAACAGGTTCTTGATCTGCGTCTACCTTTCCCAGCCACTCTGAATCCAAGTTGTTGTCAACCTGACTGGCCAAGGGTAATTTTTAAAGAGAGTCTGATTACTGTTTGGCCAAAATACTTTTATTTTGCAGAGACTAAATGTTTTAGACAAAATTTCCAGAGACAAGTTAGCCAATACCTGCCAAAAAAGAATTACACCCTCCAGCAACACAACAATTGTCGATGAAGGATGAAATCCATACCATCCGTCCATACCATCCATCACAGTTTATAATGAACATACCTATTCCAATGCGTGCCTCACACAGCTCAGTAAAAGCATTTTATTGGAAGAGATGGTGTCTGAAGACTCCAAATACAGGAGACCAGTTGATGAGAGCCAACACTCTTTTTTTATTTTAACAATTGGTGCTTTTTATTTGAACCTCGTGTGTAGTATTTGTAACAGCAAATCTAGCATATTGTTACGCATTACCAGATAACAGATACTGATCATTCTCTGTCATCTGGAATTCCTGTTTAGAAATCCTTTGCTTTGAAAGCTTCTCTATATTTTGTGCACTTGCCGTTTTTTCTTAACTCAATCTGTCCCTTTTCTCTGTTTATATAGGAGTGCAAAGCTTGAGGAGGCTGGTGCGCATGGTGCTCAGGTCATGTGTGCTGCTATGTGGAACTGAATGAGACCTGGTTCAGAACCAGTTTGTACCTGATGTGGCCGGTCACAACTGGGTTTTGATCTGCACTGATGCAGGCAGCCCATGATTAGAAAACGGACAAAGTGAAGGGGAGTAGAGGCACGGGGAATAGCAAGAAGATAAATTGAAGATAAATAAAAGGGAAGAAGAGAAAATTGCTGAGAGAGATAGTAAGAGAAGAGCAGATGGATACCGATGAACAGAGCAACAGGCTAGGCCATGCTTTAGTTTCTAAACAACAGACAGCCATCACAGGGCCCTAAAGTGAGCGGTGGCTTGACAGGGGCCCCTTGGTGTTGTCTCAGAAGACAACTCCTCCCTTCTGTTGCTGTGGCGTCCAAATGATCTCTTAATTAATTCATAGTGCAGCGCAGAACTAAATTTGCACTCGTTAACCGCCCGCTGTTTGCTTTTCTTTATTTGCTATCATTAGCTCCCTTCCCTTCAAAGCATGCATTGCGATTGTGTGCA